CTTTCTTTCTCTTTCGTTCTTTCTTTCTTTCTTTTCTTTCTTTATATCCTGTCTTTATTATATTTATGAATAACTCAAGGTGACAAACATATTCAAAATAATAACTATTGGCAGCAGCAGTTGTCATCAATTTCATTCATAAACCTTTTCTGATCCGTTTTCTCCATGGCAATCTGTCCCTAACCTGTCCTTCAGGTATTCCAGTGGTGTGGACACAGAGTATCATAACAGATCATCAAGCACTGTGTTTGTAAGCATATAGGAAAAATGCTGCCATTTCCAGAAGTTAGTCTGAATTCATAAAAAGCAACCAGGTCATAGTAATCTTATTTTTCTACAGCAGATTAAATAATGAGGTAACATAGCAGGTTGAGAAAATGAAGCAGCTATAATGTTTTTTGATATCAAAAAAGCATCTGTCAAAGTCTTCAATGCTAGCCTATTTGAAAAGTTGGATAAAGTGCAATCTGGTAGACTTTAAATGGTCAATCATGTTAGAACCTGTTTCTCAATAGTAAGCACTAGGCTTATGTGAGAAAGATTAAGGCAAATGCAAATAGGTATATAGCACTGTTGCAGCTCAGATCAGAGTGAGTTTTTTAAATAGGTCAATGAATGATAATAACCCTGTAGGCACCAGACTACATGCAAATGTTTCTGGGATGTCTTCCATGAGGCAATCTTCCTGCCATCCACCTGAAGAAGTTATACTTTGCTCAGTAATCACTATTTGCCCATTTGCTTTTTTACCAGGTAAAGGGAGAAACAATACGAGAGTGCTTGCATGATTCATGATGTTAATATTTTGAGTGACTGACAATTCATACAAATATTATGGACTCCCCTCCCCCTTAAATTCAATTGTGTAGAATCTAGAAAAAAAAGGATGAAGGGTTGTTGGTTTTTTCAGAGTATCGCAAGTATCTACTTATGGTGTGTCAAATACACAAGCATATACTTAAGAAGGAGATTATGGAAATACATGTGCAGAAAATAAACATGGGGTGGGAGAGAAGCACATTTACATCATGTTTACATATAAAGCCGCATATTAAGATAAAAGATCCAATTAAAAACTATTTCAAGTTTAAAACTAAGCAACTGTACAGGTAATCCTCAATTTACAACTGTTCACTTAGTGACCATTACAAGATACAACGGCATTGAAAAAAGTGACTTATGACCAATTTTCACATTTCTAACAGTTGCAGCATCCCCATGGTTATGTGATTTACATTTGGATGCTTGANCTTAACATCTTAAGACATCGGTCATTAAAAGATACAGGTGTTTATACACTTACTGACCTGTATCCTGCCAGAAGATTCATAAGTGTCGACTTCCCAGCTCCAGAAGGACCCATAATTGCCACCAGCTCGCCACTACTAAACTTTCCAGAAATTCCTTTCAGCAAAGTCTTGAAACCTATAAAAATGGAAGGGAGAGAGAGTTAAAATTTAGAAAACATATTTTTCTAAAATAGGTAGGCACCTCGTTGCAGCCATAGACCAGCTCAAATCAAACCAAACAAATAAACAAATAAAAAACAGATTAAGAAAGCAAGTAAAAGACCACAGTGAAACCCACTAATTACAAAGCTGGTATGGTCAAGATGTCATCCATTTCACAAAACTTAGCTACTTTGACAGAAATAAAATCTTAACCATGTTAAGATTAATAAAATGATATTGATCAGACATTAGCAACTGTAAATAATATTGGTTACAATTTTTCTTGGCTAATATAGATATAGAGACATCTAGCTAGCTAGCTAGCTAGCTAGCTAGCTAGCTAGCTATCATCTATCTATCTAAATTGATTCTTGCTTATCTTACAAAAGCCAAGTATTATGGGATTTTTCTTATATTTCCTCCCATCTTTTTCATTTTTATTCCCTTTTTCCTGATTTGTATTTAATGAAAACTGGAAGATTTTAAATGTAAATGCAATTTGATTGAAAAACGTAAAAGGAGGAAGATATGGAAAAAATGAGAATATTTATTTCTGGTAAACATGTTTTTGCATTATCAGTTTTGTACTACAACAGTAATAGAATAAGTCCCTCAAGAACTATGGTCTATCATGAAGGAAGAAAAATATTGAGATGAAGAAGATACAGTGAAGGGACTGGAAGAATGAGATGAAAACCAAATTTTGTATATTTTCCCTACTTGAAGATCCAGGAGATTTCTAAAGTGATCAACAGATATTTTAGAAAGCAGGATGGCATTTATCTGACAGCATGCTGTGACAGAATTATTTTCTTTTTCATTGTTTTGCTCCATTACATTTTCTCTGCCTCTTAATCACGAAGCAAAGTTAGCTGACCAGGCTAAAAAGAAACACCAGCTGGTTGGGTAACAACTGCAAAATGAGTAATCTGCCAAGTTCTTAGACAGACATAGTGCTTGTTTTCCTTATTTCTTTCAGCAATCAAAATTGTTTAGGAGATGCAAAACATATGCATATAAATATTTCTACTACCACAAAGATATTAACTTCAACACCAACAAATTTACTTGGATGATGATTATTTAGAAGCTTTTCTGATAATTTCAGCAAAGGCTGCATTTTAATTTGGTGAATAAGATTCACGTAATGAATACAATAAAGTTTCTAGATCTTGAACAGGCATAAAAGCAGTTACAGTATATTTAGGATTGTGTATGGGTGCCTATAAAGTAATATTACTTTGTAGTAACCATTATAATTCATTCAGGACATCTAGGTGTTCCATTTTATACACATCAATTGCTTTGTTACAACCCATAACTCAAAAATTATATTTCGGTTCTATTTTCATGGATCTTTTACAATTCAGGGCTAATTGCACAGGCATCCAAGCAGTGGGGACAACAAACCCTGTGGCCTATATGCTTAAATCTGATGTCAAGGCACAAATAAAGGTCAGATTTGTATTGGGATACTACTATGTACAGGCTGTCATTAATGAGGACTAGAATGGTTATTCAGAAGACCCTACCAATCTTTCTTTGTCTTAACAGCACACTGAAATACCCCACAGTCAACCACAGTTCCATGGTGAGTTTAAAATTTATAAACAATTCCTGTTTTCCCAGAAAAAGAGACAAATTCCTACTTTGGAATTTTAGCTTACAGATAAAGTTTGTTGAATTCTTTTTAAAACTGAATTCTCTATTGTAGCAAAATATATACTTCAAATATAAAAACAGAAACAAAGAATGATTTCAATATATAGCTTCCAAACCAGTGGGGGTTTCAAAAATTTTCAGAACCTCTTCTGTAGGTGTGGCCTGCTTCNTTCAAAGCCGAAGAGCCAGTGCTGTCCGAAGACATCTCTGTAGTCATGTGGCTGGCATGACTAAACACCGAAGGCGCATGGAACGCTGTTACCTTCCCACCAAAGGTGGTCCCTATTTTTCTACTTGCATTTTTACATGCTTTTGAACTGCTAGGTTGGCAGAAGCTGGGACAAATAATGGGAGCTCACTCTGTTACGCGGCGCTAGGATTTGAACTGCTGAACTGCCAACCCTTTCTGATTGACAAGCTCAATGCCTTAGCCACTGAGCCATCACGTCCCTGCAGCCTATTTAAGATCAGGCTATTTATAAAAAATATCATTTTTTTAAAGGAGAAATGGTTTTCTTCTGCCACCTTCAGTTGATATGAAAAAGGAAAAAGTATTTGCTAATTTCTGCTTTCCCAACATCAAATAACTCACTGGATCAAAGATTCCGATCTGTGAAGTCCAGTACTGAAATGTGCAGCAGTTGCAGCAACGAAGTGTTTCATTATATTTGCTGGTTTAGAATAAAGACAATTAAATTGATCAAGAAAAGTTTGGATTTTTTTTTAAAGATTCCTTTAGCACTATCTTTACAGTGAGTTGCTACATCCTGAATTTCATTCAATCTAACTGGGAATTTCCTTTTTTTTAAAGATGGTCAAATGTTTAGTTAACTAAGATTTAAGCACACCTACTGTCAGAAAATGTAAGCAAAATCCTGACTATAAGATTTAGTTATTTTGAATGTTAAGAAGAATCTGCAATTTTCTCTGGCAATTCTAGCTTCCTTGCTTGCTTTCCTCACTCATCTTAGCAACAGACGTAGTGCAACCAATCAACTTCTGCTTCGTCACAGCCCCAGCATCACAGGCTGAGGTTACTGTAGTGCAATGACTGATAGTAACCGAGCAGGATTGAGAGAGAGCTGCTTCATGCGGCAGCTCAACTGCAATGCACCTGCTACACAAGAACAGGCTTTTCTTGAATTCTCTGACTAGAAACAGCAAAACATATACAATAAATCCTATTTTTCACCATTTGCATTTCAAAAAGTAGGGGGTGGAATCTTCCCAGCACAATACAAGATATATATTTGTTATAAGAATGTGTCAAAGTGGAATTTACAACACCTCTACTTTTTTTAAAAAGGTGAAACAATGGCATATTTATACCACACTATTTGATTTATCAAATGGGTGTATTCTTCTGTAAAATCTACTTCGATAGTGTTTAAATAGTGGTTTGCAGATTAAACATAAATACTTAACAAATGAAGTCTATTACTGTATCAAGTTTATCTTTAATTCTGCTATTTGAAAAAACAATCTAAGCTATATGCAGCTAATCAAAATACATTAATTTGCACAGCAAGATAAATGAAAAAACAGCTGTGTTTCTTAATAACCTGAAAAAATTGAGAATGTTTCAGACATTTGCTACAAAATGGAAAAGCAAAACATTTAATGGCATGCATGCAATTCACTAATGAATATATATAGAAAAAATAGGTTTATGCAAATAATTTAAAAGCTTTATTTGCAATGATTAGATATTTGTAATATTTACTATAAACTTATCTTTTGTTGGGGGCTGCATAGGAATTAGTCAATAAATTGTACCAGAAATGTTGTAAGAGTCCTTCACATATTTTTAAGGTGAATATTTAATAGCGTAATTTGTAACATATGCATACTAGCATGCAAGTCTCACAATGTTTAAAGGGATTTATTCCCAAGTATTCATAAAATTCTAGCATAGCCCTTTAAAGCCAAATTATCAATTCTAAAAATGTATCAGATAAATAAGATAATTTTTATAGTCAAAAATTGACAGCCCCTACAACTATTTCATTAAAAATACTATTTCAATATTTTGCAACCTTTACCTTGCTTTGACCAGGTGACAGGGTAGCAATGGATGAAATAAGATTGGCTCAAATGCATTAATTTGCTGGATGTAGGTAACTCTATCTTCACTAAAAAAAACAACAGAGGAGCTAAAATGGCAGTGTGAGATGAGAGCTCTATATATTTCCATTTTGTTTTGGTTTTAAGCTGGCACTTCCATGAGTTTTCTTAGCAATAGTGCAGAAGCAGATGGTTCCTTCTTTCTTCTGATCTGTTTTTTCAGTTGTCCATCATCCCATTCCACTGGGATTTTTGATAGTCTCCCATTCAAGTACTAACCAAGTCTGACTTTTGGGATTTTCAATCATAACCACTTGCTGTCATATGTTGCAAAGGGGATTCCTCTAATCTATTTTATAACCAGAATTGAAGTGGATAAAACTGATCAACATTCTCTTTCTATAATCTACTGATTCTGCAAAGAAACTTGGAAGTAGGCTTTGATTCAAAGAATAAGGCTTCAGGAATTGGGAGTTATGCTTTCCTTGCTGAATTCTTACTCCAGGCTTCCAAGTTAAGTGTTCAGCCTGGAACCTGAGCTAGATTTACCATCAGAAACAAAATTCTGTGCATCACTATGTTCTGAAAGTGTAAAACAAACAAGTGATATCATATAGCCAAGCCAAAAGACCCAGGTGAAAATCTAATTGCTTCATAATAAATATGGGACATTCGCCTCAAGAGCTTCATTTTTTTCTCTAGAGTAATTATCTCAATAGATTTATTGACTAATGGAAATATCATGCATGGCTTCTTCCTTCCTGGCAGAATACACATCATAAACATTAAAGCATAATGTATTAGAAGTCCAGAATTGTTCCTGCTAAACACTATAATTTTGTCAGCATGTTCCATTCAATTTTAACAAATTACCATCAGGCTGATCAATGTCGTTGGAGATTATCAGTACAATATAGATTTGAAATTGGTACTAAATAGAAAGCACTGCCTTTCACTATCTCAAGTTGAAAAACAGTATGGATGAGTACCCATTCTTTTTAGCAAACATTTCAAAAATGCCAAAGACCACTTTGAATAGTTTTTGTCAAATACATTTTCTAATTCTTAATCATGTGGATGATGCTTATAGTCTTTTACAACAATTTTCTGTTGAAACACAAACTGCAAACTGTATTAACAGAAGGCTTAACTCTTTTTGTAGTCTTCCATAAATTTGCAATTTTAATTTATTAAAGTTCAATTTGACAAATGGGAGTTGTAAGTTGTTCCAAGGAAGCTCCCACGGAC